AGATATCGGTTTCCTATTTATACAAGTTGCTGTGGAAACTGTTCGTCAATTGTTGCGCATTCTAAGTGGAAAGACCAAAAAAATCTGCATTCTCATAAGACTCTATACTAAATCGTGAAAAATTATTTTATTAATATCTCGTCTCTTAGGTATCCAAACTAGTCATAATTTTTTTGAGGATTTTCTTCATATTAATAGGCTTATATTAATTTTTTATGAATATTTGTTCGTCAATTCCAAATCAGATAAACCTCCTTAAACAGTATCGTATGAAATATTCGAAGAGACTGCGTCTTCTTTGTAGTTCATATTAGAGGATTCATAATTTGCTGATTCTAAAAGATGATATCAAATTAAAACAAGATCATTAGAATAGGAAAATAGGAATAAGAAAAAAGGTTACAATAAATCTGATAGTGAAATCTTTTAATGCCACATTTAAGGCCTATTGAGACTTTTGATGCTAAACTTTTAAAAGAGTTTAATTTAATTTAATAGAATTTTAATAGGGCGATCTCACTTTCGAAATATAACTTTCTATAAATATGCACAGGGTGTCCCGGTACTTCATACAAAAAAGTCGAGTATATTTGTACTCGAGATCAAAATAATATTAGCTCTTCATATAAATTTTTTTCATACGGGGTTTTCAAAGGTGAAAATTTAAGAAGTTATTTTTATTTTGTTTCCAAACTATTAACTTCAGCATGATTCAAATTTGGTGATCGATAAACAAATGCCTACAGCTTTTTTTTAATGTTGTAAGTGAAATTACAACTTTCTGCCTAGAACGCCAGGGACGGACTATGCCCAATGGTTAACAACCCAGAATTTTTGCATAGATGACGATCGCAATCTACCTGTATCAAAAACATGTTTCCTGAAGAATTTGCCAACGATAGTACCCTCTTAGTTCAATCGGTAAAATTAACAGTTTAAGAAATATTTGTGGTTTTATGTCACAAGTGCACATCGAGCGGCGCATCCACCATTTTTTGTTTTTAATTTTTAATTGGACATAATTACTATGTTGGAACCGTACATATTTTTAAAATAACTTTTTAATTTTCACCTTTGAGGGCCCGTAACTTGTTAACGAAGGCCCGTATGAAAAAAATTATATGAAGAACTAATATTATTTTGACCTTTTCTACTTGTACTCGATTTTTTTCTATTAAGTACTGAGACACCCTGTAGAGATGCATTCACGATAAAAGGACTCGTTCACTCATGATGAATGTATCTTTTTTATTTCAACTCTTGTTTAGCTGAAACATAAAATCATTCGTCTAAGATAAAATGGTAGATGATAATCGGTGTCAATTAGACAAGTTAAAAGATAATTATATTATAAGAAGAGGCATCAAGACTCTACATATACGAAACATTGTTTTACGAAAATATAAAATAAAAACTAACAGAGACTTTATCTTATAATCACAAAATTTGGACTTTTTCTTGTAAAAATTGTATTCTGCTTATATATATATATATATGGTTAGGTTAGATCAGGAAGTGCCAAGTGATAGAATATGAGAAAATAAAATAGTGTTTTACTATGAACACAGCGTCAGAGGGCATGAATTTTTAGATCAATTGTAGTTTATACCTTCGAAACGCAGCTGTCAGTTGTTTTTTATATATGTATGTATTTCTCTGAAATTGCAAGAAAACCTAAAACTTTAGGCTTAATCATTTTTTCCTAAATACAAAGTAAACAGATTTACAGGAATTATCAAATAAATTGTCTATCGCTAATAAAACAATGAATAAAAAGAAAATACACAAAATGTGTTAGAAAAATTCACGAAACTAGAGCTGTCACATATGCCTTGTAATGGAAACAATAATCTTTATAAATACTCATATATTTGGAATTAATAAAAAAAATAATAAACATTGCAGTTATCAAAAAATTTCAAAATATAGCAAGTACTTTTTTAAAGACAAGCTTGTTATAGTTTTACAATTTAATTTTGGCTTGGACTATGTCAATGTTATTTAGAGAACTAACTGAAGGAGGATATCCTAGCATAATTTCACTATTTTAGCAATAACTTGAAAACGAACCAAGATATCGACCTCCGGTTTGTGTATTTGTTTTCGTTAATAAATGGTCTATTAAGCCACGAAAAAAACCTAGACTGTTGCATTTAGTTTTTTTNCAGAGAACACTATACCAACGAGAAGCGACAGAATCGGCGGTTCCTTTGATGTTTTGTGGTCACGCTAGAGTCGACCGATTTGACAGAAACACAATCGTTTACACTGAGAGAAGTTACACTTTTGAATAGATGTACACTGAACGAACTGCATCAGTATCAAACATTGTTCATATAATACAAGGATAATTGTGGTAAAATGTAGACAAATTAGGTACAATATATAAAAAAATAAAACAAGATGTTTTACAACTAATATTTTTATTAAACAGATATAATTTTTTTTGCAATATTTGAAATAGTTTTTTAAAAATAGGTACCTGCCAATGCAATAACTTCTTTGGGACAATCTTCCACAATTTTTGCCTCTAGCTCTTCTTGTCCATTTTTAAGTTGAGGAAACTGTATAGGTATTCCGTTTGGCAATAAGGTTCTTCTTACATTCTCTTTACCAACATATTTGGTTTCGAAATGGTGTACCTATAAGCCTATAATTCTTATATACATCCACAATCTTAGGCAATAAATCTATTGCAAGTTTCTATCCACACTCGAGCACTGCTAACAAAAATAAAAATTCTAAAGATATTCTCTATACTTATGCAATACCATATTACAAGAAAACATACCACATTATTTTAAACATCAAAATACTTTTTTCTGATTTACTGTTTACAGGTAGGTACTTACAATAATAATTATTATAATAATTACCTTTCTAATCTTTAAGTAATCTCCTTCACCAGTTTTGAATGAACAATCGCGAAAAGCACAATAATCATATATTTTGCTGATTTCAAGTTGATTCTAAATGAAAACGAAATACAATACAAATAAATCCACTATCAATTAACAGTATACAACACAACTGTCCACCGCCAAAAAACTATTTACTAATTACTCATTTCTTCTATTTATATTTGGCGGCTTTGACAGCCACTGACAACTGACAACAACACAACCCAATACGCGTATGCGCATACGAAAACTGTTAACGCAGAAAGCCTTGCTGTCGCTTCTCGCTGGTATAGTGTTCTCTGATTTCATCCTATTCTAAATAACCCGTATCTCAAACACAAACTATTCTAAAAGTGTTTACCTATACTATAGATTGAATGAAACAGATTCATTTCATTCTAAATATGTTTTAATAATAGAAACCAATTTATACTTAGACACCAACCAGAAATACTTCAGAATGCTATCATTTTAGTTTATAATACAAGTTTCGAATTTTTCTAATTACTACATTCCTAAAGAACCCATATTATCCCGAAAACCGATAAGTATTCTAACTGTCAACAGTACCATTTTTACTCATAAATAACCAACTTTTCATTGATTTTATCCAACTTATTCATATGTGAAAGACAACAGAGTTAAGATCATATTGTCGCCTTTTTGGGTTTTGGCGTGCACCTTGATGCTAGAAAAATGATGTAAAAAATAAAATGTAACAAATCAAAAATGTATAATAATATAGAAAAGAACCATCTTCTAGGTGGTAGTTTTTGCACTCACAAGTCTGTGCTTCACACTGACTATCCACTCTGAATACTGAGGAATGATTAAGTTTTCCGCTTGCATTAGTTTCCGTCGATAACAAAAGTTGTATTGTATAAGAATACAATACAATTGCTAAAACAGGAAAGAAAGTGGTGCGAGTTATTTCAGTGTTACCTACCAAGGTCGAGAAAAAAGCAGACCTGATTTAAAAGTTTGCAAACGATGCAACATTGCATTAGTAATGACGTCAGAAAATAGCATATGCTCCTTTCACTGAGATATATCCTATAAGCCTAACGATATTTTGTCTGTAAAATATAACTAATGCCCTCTACTGGTAATCTCAAAATGAATACATATTTTTTTGCATTCTCGACCTAATACTTCTAACATAATAATGGATTTAAATATGTTTTTTGAAATATTTGCTGAGTTGTGCCGTATTCATTACCAATTTAATTAATTTTTACGCCAATCAAACCATGACATTGTGCATTATATGTAGAATTTTAAGCCAAATAAACCAACGTTAAACCATAATCTGCTTTCGAGGACTGATTTGTTCTTTTTTTATTTTCAGGGCTGAATACATCCTTAGTACCTATGTATATATCTGAAATATCACCCTTAAACCTTCGTGGTGGTCTTGGAACTGTAAATCAATTAGCGGTTACGGTGGGCCTTCTGTTATCCCAAGTGCTCGGTATCGAACAAATTCTCGGTACTAACGACGGCTGGCCCCTTCTGCTGGGCCTGGCCGTGTGTCCTGCCTTACTTCAATTAGTGCTTCTTCCAATTTGCCCTGAGAGTCCGCGCTATCTCCTGATCACGAAGCAGTGGGAGGAAGAAGCGAGGAAGGCCTTGCGAAGACTGAGGGCGAGCAACGCTGTCGAAGAAGACATCGAAGAGATGCGAGCCGAGGAGCGGGCGCAGCAAGCAGAGGCTTCCATCAGCATGATGCAGCTGATATGCTCACCCACCCTGCGGGCTCCGCTCATCATCGGCATCGTTATGCAACTTTCTCAGCAATTATCCGGTATTAATGCGGTAAGTGGAACAGTCGCATTCTTATTGTACAGGTTTCTATTATTCCGTATACATGGAGCTGCCACAGTTCCCTATCGTAAGTAGCTACCTTTATGTAACATTTAAACAAGAACTAACCAGTTGTCTCAGAACTAGGAGAGTCTGAGAGGTTTCAACCATAGAAAACATTTATCTAATGTAAAAGAGAATTTTCTTTTACAAAGGAAAATGTTAAAAATCAGTCAATTTCTCCCCCACTTTCGAACTTTCTGTAGCTATCTTAAATAATTCCAATAGGCTTGTATTTGATAGAAATACATCTCTAAGGCTGTCATTCTGCGGGGAAAATCGACAATATCCGCATAAGATCGGGTAAAACTTGTTGAGGCTCTAAGTAGATTCTTTGAAATCGATCCATGTTCAACCAACTCCGGAACTTTTTGTACCGATGTTAAATAATTCCAGTAGGCTTGTATTTGATGGAAATACATGTATAAAACCCGCATTTTCCCGAAGAAAATGTTCCAGTATATGCGTAATATCATGTGAAACGTTTACCTCGGAAAGATACAATTTTTTTATCAATATTAATAAACATGTCGACGCAGATAATGAAAAAAAAAACTTGAAATCATTGAACGAAAGAAAAGGCTTTCTGTTTCCTGCACGAAAAAGGATAATTTCTTGTTAAGAAGGAAAAGAAGGAGACATAAAACCTAGAACCCAACGCATGGAGGGTCAAACGTAATACCTAGGAATATTTATGAATATTACTTAAAAAAGACAAACAATATGGCATTACTGGGGATGTAAGGTCAGAAAACGAGTGATCGGTTGCTGTTCTCATGTATTTATTTATTTATTTAAATTACACCACCTGACAGTTAAAACCAATTAATAGGTGGGAGATATAGCGAATAAAATATTATGCATTAACAAAATCAGATTACTAAAGTACAAGAGTAAAAAAAACAGTTAACAATAATACAGATTATAAAAGTATAAAAAATTATAAAAGATAACCACTACGTATATAGGACTAAATAAAAAAATACAGTCGACAAAGTTAAAATAAATGCTAACATAAATACCAACAAAACAATCATTTTAAAATTCAATTAAAACTTGTATACATATAATTATCCTAAAGTAGGTCATATAAAGAATTATTAAAAATTAATATTGCAAGTTATGACTAGAAAAAACTCTCTTAATATGAGATATATTATCATGAAAAATATCCACAAGGTTCTGCATTCGAGAGTGATTGTGATTGTAGTGTTTTGAGACCCTGAACAGGATCGCATCAGTAAAATTTGCCCATGAACTCGATATTTCTAAGAAAATCTACTATTTGGGTGAAAACTTGTCCAAATATAAGTCAAAACCGACTTTTTTCCTAAATTGTGTCCAAGTATATCACTTTCGTAGTATTTTGAACACGATGCCATTAGTAAAATTTACCCATTACTTTTTTTAATTTTCAGGTACTTAAGAATTTTGGATTTTCTGAGAAATATCAAGGTCAGAGGTGAACTTCATTAATGGCATCGTATTCAACGCCTAAAAACACTACTAAAACGATATATTTGTACAAAATTTAGGAAAAAAACAGTTTTGATCTTTATTTTAGCCAGTTTTTCACTCAAATAGTGTAAAATGTCGAGGTCATGGGTAAATTTTAATAATGGCATCATGTTCAGCGTCTCAAAATACTACGAAAATGATTATTTGAACAAAATTTAGGAAAAAATCAGTTTTTACCCATATTTGGCCGTTTTCACCCAAAAACTTAACTTTTCTCCGAAATTTGCTGTGAAATCATGAATTTTGACTACAGGATCATGTTCAACGCATCGAATTCCTTCGGAAATGATATTGGGTGTGGACTTTTTTTTGTGCGTGTGGCTGTCTTTACTGAATAGTAATTTTTTATTTTTTGAAATCCTATTACAATCTTGAAAATGGCAGTAATTCTGCCGAAATAATTTCAAGGTATTATATAATTAACAGCAATAAATATATGTCTAATCAACTGGATATTCCCTTTACACAATTGTGTATTAAATTTTCATAAAATTAAATCAAATCCTATTTAGTACTCACAAAAATTTATTTGGGTGATGAGTTAGGAAAAACAAATAATTTTCAGTTTGTTTGCATTTAATTAAATTAAGTTAAACTATTGCTTTCGTTAATAATCGATAGGGGAATATACAGCAAAAAAATTAAAATTTTTCCCACTTTCTCAGATTTTGAAAAATTTTAGGCATTTCCCTGAAAAACTTGTTAAATAATGCGGACATTTTTAGTGTCACCATAAGATTAAGAATTTTAAGTAACTTATTCATTACTTTGTTTCAACATTTGCTCTGTACTGACTTTTATAATATTTTAGGTATTTTACTACTCTACGGACCTCTTCAAAAACTCGGGGCTGACAACAGAAAGTGCCAAGTTTGCAACCATCGGCATCGGTTGCATCATGGTCATCATGACATTAATCTCCATTCCTCTCATGGACAAAATGGGACGACGAACATTGCACCTATACGGACTTGGTGGCATGTTCATCTTTTCAATTTGCATCACCATCTCATTTTTGATAAAGGTTTGTTGGTATATACCAAAAATAGGATACCCTTATTTTTGGTGACGGTAACTGGAATCTGTGGTCTGATCAGTGAAAGCATTGTTGCCCTATTTGTTGTGTTTAGAAAACACAAGAACGTCCTTATTATTATTTCTTTCTTAATTATTTACAGATTGTTTAACCTCCAATGTCTTTGACTGCATACGGCAACTGTGTTTTTACATTGTATATAAATAACGTTCACTATTTTAAAGTTTTGTGGACGTTTCGAATATCAAATAATAATATCCACATAACTTAAAGAAGTCTGCCGAAATGTGGGAAACACATAAATTAGTTTTTTTAAAATAAGTATATAGGCCAGGCGGGATCTGTTTTGGTGTAGACGTTTTATACAGGGTGCCTCATAATTAGCTGCCAACCCTGAACAGGCCGATTCTATGATCAAAACTAAGTAAAAAAGTTCATATGAACATGGGTCCGGAAATGCTTCCTAAGGGCACAGGGACCCATTGAAGAGGGAGGAATGGAAATCATTTTTTTGCAATATCTCTCAATCGCGTTGTGATAAATGAATGAAATTTGGTATACACAGCTAAATTTTGATGAGCAATTTGATGGACTAATCCATTTATTTCCACAAGGTCCATTGGGGTGGGTACGGGGGGGCCCTTGGTACTTTGCGTGTGTAACTTTTTCATCTTTGACTTTTTAACAAATTGGACAGCAAATTCCGTTTTCCCGAACTGTTTTACGTTAAAAAGGTACTCTTGTTTCAAATCGTTATCTTTAACGGTTTCTGAGAAAATCGCTCTTGAATTAATCCCACTTTGGTCAATTTCATAGTAATTTAAACAAAAAAAAATAATAATAATTTTCCTTTCCTCTCTTTTCCATTTAAAGGATTAATTTTTATTTAATTTAATTTTTTATTATTATTTTTTTATTAAAATTAGATTAAATTTAAACAAAAAAATTTTTTTTGTTTAAATTACTATGAAATTGACCAAAGTGGGATTAATTCAAGAGCGATTTTCTCAGAAACCGTTAAAGATAACGATTTGAAACAAGAGTACCTTTTTAACGTAAAACAGTTCGGGAAAACGGAATTTGCTGTCCAATTTGTTAAAAAGTCAAAGATGAAAAAGTTACACACGCAAAGTACCAAGGGCCCCCCCGTACCCACCCCAATGGACCTTGTGGAAATAAATGGATTAGTCCAACAAATTGCTCATCAAAATTTAGCTGTGTATACCAAATTTCATTCACTTACCACAACGCAATTGAGAGATATTGCAAAAAAATGATTTCCATTCCTCCCTCTTCAATGGGTCCCTGTGCCCTTAGGAAGCATTTCCGGACCCTAGTTCATATGAACTTTTTTACTTAGTTTTGATCATAGAATCGGCCTATTCAGGGTTGGCAGCTAATTATGAGACACCGTGTATAGTATCGCTAATTTTTGCTTTAATAGCTCCAAAATGATATAACAAAACATAATTTCACTATGCGCGCGCTTCAAAACGTGTGCTAAACTTATTATTAAACAAATAGTGAAAAAATTGGAAAAAATTCTTTTTCTCTTTTTTTCAACACAGTTCAAAAACTATTCATTTTAGAGAAAATTTGAAGAGGGAAAAAAGATTCGTAATTAAATTTTACACATGGTGTACCTCAAATAAAAAAATACAACATAATTATTGCAAATATAGCAAAAACAACAAAAAAAGTGAAAAAAATTACAATATTTTTGCGATTTTTTAAAAGTACTTATATTATAGGTAGGATCTTCATACTTGGACAAAAAAATCTTTTTGATATAATAAAATATCACCAATTTTCGGTTAAAATCGGTCCGATAGTTTTCGAGTAATAATTTAGCAATCCAGATTTTTGCAAATTTAACTGAGCCTACAAGACTTCTAGATACTTGAAAATTTTATCACATAAAAAAGGGCTCTCAAACTTTCAAATGCGTCCAGAAAAATTGAAATCCGTTAATTAGGGGTTCTAAGATAATTTGATTTTAAAAATTTATTTATATAATTATTGTTTGAACAAATTTTGAATGCTTAAACAAATTGAATACAATGTACGGATAAAAACTATATAAATTTGAGTAATATTCATTAATAGAATAAAGAAAAATACGAGAAAAGTAAAGCAAATTAAAAAGTAGTAACTATCAATACGTTAGTATATCGATAATTAACAATAATTCGCATTTGAATATGCGATATTTGGACTTTTCAGCTCGCGAGACATTGATTTTAAAAAAACATCAAAATCAGACCACTAGAAGCCGAGATAATCAAAATTTTTAAGCGCGCCATGTTGAACGCACGATTTCAATTTCCAGTCGGTCGGAGTAGCCGAGCTCTCAACCCCCCCACCACTACCTCCTATACATTTTTCGTGAATTTCATGCTGGGTCCAATAGTTTTAATCGACATTTTATATGGGTTGCACAAGGGCGGAAGTTTTACAAATTCACTCCCGGAAAGTACTCGGAATGACAAAGGTATTTGTTTAAAAAACAGCCCTCCAGACCTCGTAGTTATGCTACAAATGCCAGTCAATTTTGATCGACTATAACTCTGGAACCAATTAACGAATCACCACGTTTTTTTTTAAAAAAGAAGCTTCTTTCCGAGTACTTTAAAAGCATAATTTAAAAAATAATTATAATAAGTTTATAAAGTTTTTGTATTTGTTTATAAGCGAAAAAATTACGCATATCTTTAAACAGTTACCACGGCTCTCCTAATTAACGGATTTCAATTTTTCTGGACGCATTTTAAAGTTTGAGTGCCCTTTTTATGTGATAAAATTTTCAAGTATATAGAAGTCTTAATTTAGGCTTAGTTAAATTTGCAAAAATTTCAATTTTTTTTCAAAAATCTGGATTGAAAAATTATTACTCGAAAACTATCGGACCGATTTTAACGAAACTTGGTGTGCTGATTTATTATATCAAAAAGATTTTTTTGGCCAAGTATGAAGATCCTACCTATAAGTACTTTTTAAAAAAATCGCAAAAATATTGTAATTTTTTTCACTTTTTTTGTTGTTTTTGCTATATTTATGTTGTATTTTTTTATTTGAAAGTAGGTATATCATGTGTAAAATTTAATTACGAATCTTTTTTTCCTCTTCAATTTTTCTCTAAAATGAATAGTTTTTAATAGTTTTTTAACTGTGTTGAAAAAAAGAGAAAATAAATGGAACTTTTTCCAATTTTTTCACTATTTGGTTAATAATAAGTAATAATATAGTAGTACATAATAATTAGTCCACGTTTTGAAGCGCGCGCATAGTGAAATTATGTTTTGTTATATTATTTTAGAGCCATTAAAGCAAAAATTAGCGATACTATATAAAACATCCATACATGGGTGTTTTGAAACAGATCCCGCCTGGTCTAATGTGTTCCTTCAAAAACTGTGGATAAAGTAAAATAATTTTCAGAAGAACAATTTTTTTTCGTCCTAAATGCATGATTTCTTATTCTTTCTCAAATGTTCTACAATTTTTTAAAGAGGAACATATTAAATTAAAATAAATTTTAAGAACATCTGCAAAAATATTGCATAAAGATATTTATATAATAAATACGCTGCGTATGGCATGATACTATACAGGGTGTCCCATTTTAATCGATCACCCCGAATAACTTTGCAGGATCATCTTCAATAGAAAATCTTCCAGAACAAATGTTGTAAGGTTTGACTTAACTTCAGAATTTCAAATAGAAACCCCATTCTGAAATGGAAAGAACAAGATATTTTAAGTTCAAAGGTGTATCTTGAGTCAGATTGATCTTTCTCTGAAAGTCAAATCAGCTTTCTACCTGAAATTTTTACATTTTATGGCAAAGTTTAATTAATTTTTGTGTCAAATTCCGTAGAAACTACCGTAGTTATGATTCATGGTCTCATTGTGACTCTCACCTTGAAGCTTGGGGTTAAATATAAGGGTCATTTAACTTTGGATTTGGTTTTTCTATTCAGAGGTGAGAAATGCAAAAAAATCGCGTTCAAAAATGCATACTTGGCCCTGTGTCAGATGAACCCCTAGGGGTCCCTTAAAAGCGATTTTATTTTTTTAACTTAGAAATTCATTTTTTACGCCGAATCTTAGATAACTCTCACGGTTAATGAGGCATCCAGTCCAATGTTGATCGTGATCTTGATCTGGAGATTGAGAGTAGGAGTCATTAGAATGCCAAATGACCTCCGAACAATGACTTAGATTACTTAATACTTAACATTCCAGGTAATTCTCCAAGACTTTGCCATAAAATGTAAACATTTTAGTCAGGAAGCTAACTTAACCTTCAAAGGGCACCTAGGGATCAATCTGACCCAAGATAACATAAAATTGCCTGCTTTTTCCATTTCTGGATAAAACAAATGGGTTTCTATTTGAAATTCTGGAATTGAACTCCAAATTACCTCTAAGTCCTATGGATCAAAACCAAGGTCATTATCGTACGGCCTCATTAAAACCTTACAACTTTTGTTCTGAGAGTTTTTCAATTGGAGGCCATCCTGCAAAGTTATTCGGGGTGATCGATTAAAATGGGACACCCTGTATAATGTGTAAAATGTATAAAAAATGTATAAATGCAAAGTACAGCATACGTATTCAACGCCTAGCGTGCATTGTATACAGCATCTAATATACAGCGCGATCAAATTCATTTTGTCTACTCTACCATTAAAGTCTCCTGTCTTTGTCACTCCTACTGCGCATCTTGCGAACAGGATGAATTTGGTCAAGTTGTACGTTTTCATATCAAAGATAGCGACTCGGTGTATGGCTTCTATCTTAAGAGAAAATTACATTTGTTTACTGAACAGCACCCTGGTATATACAATATACTAAAGTAAATTTGTAAAAAAATATGTACAGAGTGACCCAAAACTGATGGGTGGCCACGGTTTGACTTTACACGCATTAACTCTCTAAGGGCAATGAGTCATCGGGATTATTTTTTCTCAACATGTTTTATTAAA